AAAACAACGCAATTTTGAAGTAGCTTAAAACTTGCACTTTATTATACTAAAATGTAATGGGCTACAAAAATGCATACTCAAAAATATTCTTAAAGAAATTTGTAAATTTGTAATTTGTAATGTGCTAATTTTACTCAAGTTCGCTGTAAAAACAATTCATAACTCAAATTATAGTAGAGTTCACCCCATAATACTTTACTTAAATATTGCGCAATACTCAGAGCTACCATTGTGATTTTAATCGCCGCGTTCCCGAGATATTTGGAAAATTATTAAAGCGATTTGTTTTTGTTTTTGTGCTGTAAAGTTTTTAAAAAGGTATTAATCGAGCTCAAATTTCATATTTAGGCACTTGGCACATTACGCGCCTAATCAAAGTAGAGTAATCGTTTCATCATACCGAAACGAATGCATGACGACTCGACTTCTGCACACTTGCACGCCCTGCATAAGTCACCAGCTAATAAACAATTTCTACACATAACCCATTTTTTGGCAGTTCTTTCGCAACACGCACTTCCGCAAATATTTCTGCTCTGAAATATTGCGTAAACGCTTGTGGTTTAATGCAATTTGCACGAATTTTAGCACGAAATCATTCATTTCCAATTATTTTCTATTGAATTGACAAATGAATTTTATTTCCAACACAAAAAAGTAAACAAATGACGATTTCAAAACTGCAAGCGCCTTACAATGTTGGGCGCTTCGATTCATGATGCTTTTATGATTAGGCGCAAACAAGATTTTGAATCGTAATCTACAGAGCTTCATTGAAATACATGGGTTCGGCATAAAAGCTTTATACTTTAGTATGCCGAAACGATTACACTACTATGATTAGGAGCTTAATGTACGGAGTGCCTTATTTATAATTTATGTTTATGCATCAAACCTAAAAATTTGAAGTTTTTATCTTTTTACTTGTAATATAAACATTTTTAAAATAGATGTATTTTTGATTATTTTTATGTTTTCGTATTTTTTAGTGCCTTCTTTTGCCTTTTCTAGCCTATTTCGTTATTTTTTTTGCCTTTTTTATATAGGTTTTTAGGTCCTAAAAATCCGTTCCCTGAAATCAAATTAAAATTAAAATAAATTAAAATATTTTTTTTTTTGTTATTTTATGGCCTTATAACAATTATATTCAACAATTTTTATTGAGCTCGAGGCCGTTTTTAATGAAAAACTTATTGTGGAAAAGCAACAATAATTTGAAAAAATGGTAGAAGTGATAGCTATTTTGGAAATCACCACATTTCCTCATCAGACTTCTTTCAGTAGGATTCGAACCGACGATCCCACTGACTCAGCCAGTTGCCTACGCACTGTGCTAAGCTAGCCTTGTAAATTATCGTTGCTTTTTCGTCACTTTTCCATTTGCTAAGCCAACACAATCAAGCGCAGCTATTCCGCTACGATTTACACTTGATCATGTGGTTGTTGGTTTTCCTTCCTACTGAAGGAAGTCTGATGAGGAAATGTGGTGATTCCGAAATAGCTATCACTTCTACCATTTTTTCAAATTATTGTTGCTTTTCCACAATAAGTTTTTCATTAAAAACGGCCTCGAGCTCAATAAAAATTGTTGAATAAATTAAAATAGTAATAAATAGCGAAGAACATTAAGTAGAGCTGCCAAAAGAATTACGAATGTGCCGTGGAAACAAGGTAATTCACGAATTACGTGGCGAATTACTTAGAGAGCGAATTGCGAATGTGGAAACGTCGTATAGGTCTCAGATCGGTTCTAACATCACAAAGTAGTTTCTGTGAAAATTGCAAATAGAGGGTATTGAATGTAAGCTATCGTTTTGTTTATTTGCTAGAGTTTCTAAAATATTGCCAAAAACACGATTTTTTGACAATTTTACCTTATGTGGTCTATAAAAGCCTTCTCTTTCCTATTTAGTTATAGTTTTGCAAAATAATTCAATGAATATCATCATTGGGTGCACGCATGGACAGATTACGAGCACACAATGGGCTAGCTTTTCTCAATATTCATCGCAGTCTAGATGTTAATAGCTTTGTTACACACGCTTTCCGGGCTGCTCCGGTGATTAGAGCGTAAAAATAAGTTGCTCTCACAAGTGTCAAAAATGTGTCAATACGCGCCCAGAGCGCGAGGAACGCAAAAAAAACCCATTTCGTGCCCGGAATCAACAAATACCTACATTTCTGAAACTTAGTGCTATTTTCCATTTGTGTATTTTACGAAATTTGTTTTCGGATGTAAGCAAACAGTCCGGCCTGTTTCCAGCATGAAGAAGAAGACATTTACGATTCAAAAGTGGAACTCTCTATTGCCCATTTTTCTAGCGCGAGGAACGCTTTCTGGGCTGTTGTGGGCACCCGCGGGATCACGCGGGCTCGGGTGAAACAAACCCAATGTTGACTCAGTATTAAAATAATTTTTATCTATACCTCGGTGAATTGCATGTAACTCTTCTTTGAGCTTTCTAAATTATATTCACAATTAAATACAATATGCTCTACTCTAAATAAAACAATGATGTTCTTGGTTGTTACGAATGACTTTACATAAAATGCCCTCTAAAGGGAAATCCTGAGGCCGGCCCTGGTATGTATGTATTTAGAATCTTTATATTGTGGTAAATAAATAAACTAGGTGAAACCTCGGTTTATTCGATTGTAAAAATCCGGTTTACTCGGTACTCGGATTCAATATTTATAAAAAAAATGCCTAAAAATATTCGAAAGAACTGGTTGAACCCGGTTTGCAAATACCGAGGCAGTCACTCTAATAGTTATTTACACAGGTTCTGGTTGAAAAATATACGCTTTTCAGTAGTGAGAGAACAAAGTTAAGTTCGTAGTTTTTCGACATTGTCTCAACAACTGCTGTAGGAATGGGTGCGTGTTGGCGAAAGTGCGTTGTTTTGTTTGTTACGCTTTCGCGCTTTAACTACTCAACCGATCATAATGAAATTTCCCACAATGGTGTTATTTATCCGAACTTAAAAGATAGGATAGCTTTTACCCCTTTAGACAAAGCTCCAGCATACCTCTGGAAGTATTTGTGGTAGAGTACTGGAACTTGGTATGGAGATACACGAAATCGATACTATACTCATAGAAAAAATGGGGGTTATTGGAAAAAGGACTGTATTCTTTATACTACCACCTGTTACAAAATAACCTTCGATTCAAAGTAGTATGTATTTAGTAAGTTAAATGATTTATTATAATATGGGTGTCGATCGAAATGGTTTTTCCTAACTTCATGTAGGAGGGTAGCCACCTGTTTAAAAAAATTAATTAAACTTGATTTCAAAGTTTTTAGTTCAAAAATATATTGAAGCGGATTAATAAAATAAATTAATTACACGTGAAATAACATACCTTTAATCTTTACTTCCAATGGCAGTATTTTGATTTCATATAATATTATTTACTTCAAAAGCCACCAAGTGCACTACCCCAGAAGTAAAATGGACATTTTTCATATTATGGGGAACCATTAGCGCACACAAGGGGTGGGTTTTGGGGTTCAAACCCCCTCTAAAGCTAATAACCTGAAATACAAACTGTATCCTAAAGCCAGCTCTCGGAAAACTCACAAGAAATATTTTTTATTATAAAGCACTTTGCTTTTGCTGTAAATTTTCTTGAAGAAATAAATATACGAGCATTTTTTTCTTGAGAGATGCAAATTGATTTAAGAAATTTTGATAGAAGAAAATTCCTATTCCATTTCTTGTGCGCCATTTTATATGAATTTTTCGTTTTTTTTGAGAGCTCTTAAAAGTTTAACTGCGAATGAAACCTAAAAATATGCAATGCATACTCACTTACTGAGCCTAAAAGAGTTTACAACTGATATGTCCTTAACAAGGATTCGAAGATTTAATTTGCCCACTTCGAATTCGCTCCACCAAAATTGCCTACATAACAAAAATTCAAGTTCATTTAATTTCTCATCTTTCCGATAAAAAAAGAATTATTGAAATCGGTTCACGTGGTCCAAAGTTATGCGTTAGCATTACTATTCCGACGAATTGATAACCTACTCCTTTTTTCGAAGTCGGTTACAAATGTTTGAGTTTTTTGCTAATTTTATGTAAATAAATGCAATTTATGAAGCGAATTTACAGAAGTATAAACCCCTCCCAAAATATATTCCTGGGTGCGCCCCTGTGGGGAACACAATTTTGTGAATTATTGTACCCTAGAAATGGTTATTCTTAGGAATGAAAGTGTCATGACGGTGTTTACAGATAATTGCATGATCTACACTTTTGTCTAACCTATTTTTATGATAAACTTAGCTGAAAAATGGTAAATGTCAATTTATGTGACCTTTGACCTTGAATAATTTTTTTTGCAGATCTCTGGGATCGATGAGGACTTTTCACACTTCATCTATAGTAAAGGTAACTAGGGAATCCCATTCCGCATAAAAATATCAATCTTGCAAGCTTGCGGGATCGAGGTCATCAATACCACGATATGCAATAAAACTTGAAAAAATGCGTTTGCGGGATCCCGCAATATTTTAAAAATATGGTTTAAAAAGAGTACCTATTTAAAAATATTAGTCACAAGGGTTAAGATGTACTTCAATTAAATTGGCAAGTGATAATTTCTTGTAGAAAAAATTGTACTACGATTTTGAAAATCATTTTTTTTAGTTGAAAAATCCACTTCTTAAAAGATTTTCCCATATGTATTTATAATTAGTTTTATACGACAAACGACAATTACTTTCCTAGGCCTTCGCCGTGAGTAAAAAAATGCATCCTGGAATGTATAGCCCCCAAGGCCGATACATTCCTTGGTACATGACCATTTCCGACTAAAATGCTTTTAAAATATATATACTGAAATACATATACAAGTTTTTAATATATTCACAAGATAAACGTATATTGATATTAAGAAGTTGATGTGCAGGCAAAAGACAGTCTTAATTTGTACAATATATAAACAAATAAATATGAAATATGAAATAATACGTCTGTTTCATTTTAATACAGACACGGAGATTTTGACTTCATATGCAAACCGGATTTGTGTACACAACTCTATACCAATTTATGTCGAAATGCGCTGTCGTGAGCTACCACGTGAACGACGAGATTGTAATCTTCTCTCAATGTACATCAACATATATTATTTCAATGACGATGATATGGTCGCTAAAATGCATTCAATACAACTTGATGCAGTACAGGGGTAAGCAAAAATGTTTAATTGAGTATTATTATAAGCAACATATTTATCCCAAATACTACGTATTTGAATTATATTAGGAGTTGGGCTAATGATCCTCGATAACTTCAGCAAGTCATGAATTTTTCGAAAGATTTCATCAATGTTAATTTCTTATAGTTAAGAGCACTGTAAATAAAAAAATATGCGCTTATAATATGCCTCTGAAACTCAAAAATATGCACATAAAATTTGCAATAAAACTTGAAAATATGCAGTGGTATGTCGTAAACCTTAAACCACTTAAAATATATTGAGGGGGCTCGCAAGTTAGCACAAAGGTTAGGTTAGGTTAGGTTATCCTGGCTGCCCTCATCAGCGCAGGAAAGGGCACACTTAGGCCTCCATGGGCCCATTGTGATACCATATTTGAGACTCATACGTCCCTCCTCGTACCTCAGAAATTGAACCAATTTGTAGCTCTGATAAAGCGCACAAAATCGTAGATACTGGCCGAGTCCAGTTGAGCCAGACACTCGAAAGAATAGCGAAGGAGCGAGCGTCGACGGGCTCTTTCCAAGGCGGGACAGTGGCACAGGTAGTGCTCATCGCGGCAGCTACGACAGTAGTCGTTTGGCTGCAGACCCATCCTGGCAGCGTGGGTTCCCATAAGGCAGTGCCCGGTGAGAATTCCGATAACATGGCGGAGCATTGGTCGCTCCAAACGAAAGAGAGGGCGAGATCTACGCTTATCTAACCTAGGCCAGATGTGTCTCGCTATCCTGCACGTGGGCTCTGCGGACCATCTTACATTTGCCCGTTCGATAAAGTTATTCTGCAGCCAAAGTTTACAGGATGATAGCGGAATACCCGCATTACGAGCGGTACTGATCGCAGGCAGTAGGGTTCCTTTCCGAGCCAGCTCGTCCGCAACACAGTTGCCCGGTATGTCCCTATGACCTGGTACCCATACAACTCGAGTAAAGTGACTCCTTGCCAGCTCATTTAGAATACGTCTACATTCCATGACAATCTTCGATGAGGATTTGTCACAATTAAGTGCTTTGATAGCTGCCTGGCTATCAGAAAAAATAGTTACTGCATGCAGATTAGTAGGAGAATCGATCAGCCATCTAGCAGCTTCGTAGATTGCTGTTAGTTCAGCCTGAAACACGCTACAGTAATCTGGCAGACGGAAACTGAGGCTAAGTGAGAGTTCCTGCGAATATATCCCACTTCCTACCTTCAGATCTAGCTTGGAGCCATCGGTGTAGATGGCTGCTGAATCAGAATAAGAGATCAGGATTGAATCCTCCTCCCACTCACCTCTTGAGGGGATCCTTGTTTGGAAGTCATTCTTTAGTCCAGTAGACGGGACTGTGTAGTCAAGGCGCCTGAAGTTTCCTGGAAGATCTTCCAAAATTCTAGAGTGTCCAAATCTTGTATCACTCCACTTGATCAGCGCGTTTAATCTAACAGCATTACAACTTGCCTGCAGTTTGCCATATAGGTCCACAGGTAGAAAATGGAGCAAAGTCTCTAGGGCTTTAGTCGGCGTTGAGGGCAACGCCCCCGTGATCATAATGCACGCCACCCTTTGAACCTTTGTTAATCTGCTTTTGATTGTAAGTTTGTCCACGGATGGCCACCAGACCGTGATGCCATAGAATAGAATGGGACGCACCACTGCTGTGTACATCCAGTTCACGATGTGCGGCTTTAAGCCCCACTTTTTTCCTATTGCTGATTTACAGGCATACAGGGCAGTTATAGCCTTCTTGCAACGCTCTTCAACATTGCGCCGCCAAGTTAGCTTTCTGTCCAATACAACGCCCAGGTACCTAACTTCCTCCGAGAGGGCCAGGGTAACACCGCTCAGGGAAGGAAGTTGCACCTGGACGGTTTTAATTTTCTTTGTGAAAAGAACCATGACTGTTTTCCCTGGATTGACACCAAGGCCAGATTCCTTGGACCAGGTTTCCACAACGCGTAAGGCGCCTTGGACCAGATCACATAGAACTTGGGGGTGCTTACCTACCGCCGTCAGGGCCAGATCATCAGCGTAGGCAACTACCTGACAGCCCGTGCTCTGTAGCTGCGACAGCAGAGTATTCACCGTTAGATTCCACAGGAGTGGGGAGAGGACACCGCCTTGCGGGGTGCCGCGGTTTGCATACCTTGTTACCGATACCTCTCCCATCTCCGAGTATATAGTTCTGCAGCCTAGAAGGCGATGAACAAATTCTACCAGAGGGTACTCCAGACCGAGGTTAGTTAGGGCGCGGAGAACAGCTTCTGGGAGAACATTATTGAAGGCACCCTCGATGTCAAGGAATACGCCTAATGCATATTCCTTAAGCGCTAATGCCTTTTCAATGGTGCTGACAATACCATGCAAAGCTGTGTCTACAGACCTGCCTTTCCAATAGGCATGCTGACAGCTAGATAATTTACTTAAATCAATTTCTGTTCGGATCTTCACGTCCAGTAGTCTTTCCAGAACCTTCAGGAAGAAAGATGTAAGGCTAATCGGTCGAAAGTCGCTTGGCTTCACGTGGGATGGTCTGCCGCCCTTGGGAATGAACACAACCTTCGCCAGTGTCCATCCCTTGGGTATGAAGCTAAGTCTGAGACAAGCCTTATAGATTGAAACAAGCATCGGACATAGAATGTCAGACGTTGCCCGAAGTTCGGCAGGGAAGATGCCGTCCATGCCTGGAGATTTGTAGGGCTGGAAGGACCTTATGGCCCAATCTACCCTTTCTACATCAATAAAATCTATGCATTCTAAGGAGGGTCCAGAAATTGTGCGAGCGACGCCAGGCTCCTCAGTACACCCTGGAAAGTAGGCGCTCATTAGAACCTCAAGCATCTCCTCTTGGGATGATGTCCAGTCGCCATTCGCCTTCTGAATAAACATTGGGTTCGTCGGATTTTTGGCAAGCACTTTGCGCAAGCGATTACCCTCCGATTGTCCCTCTATGCTATCACAATAATCCTTCCAGGAGTCCCTTTGGGCTTTCCTGGTGGCATTCTTAAATTTCTTTAAGGCTGCTTTGTAAGCAGGCCAAGAACCATTACGCTTTGCAGCGTTGAAGAGTTTCCTGCTTTCCTTCCTTAAAGAGGCAATTTCCTTAGTCCACCAGTGTGGCTTCCTCTTTCCTCTCGGAAGTACAATTGGACAGGACGCAGAGAAGGCCGTATTACAGGCATTGGTGATGCAATCTACGGCTTCTTCAATTTGTTCCGATGAGCTTAACTCACCGAGAGAAGCAGGGTTTGCGAATAGAGGCTCCGCTTCATCAGATGGTAACAGTAAGCCGAGCCTACCGAGAGAAGCGTCGTTGAGCAGAGACTCCGATAGTACCGTCCTAAACACAGTCCAGTCGGTACGTCTCTTGTTTCTATACAAAATCGGAGCCGGAGATTCCAAAGAGATTTCGAATGAAAGGTACATATGGTCAGACAATGATTGGTCGTTTAGTACATGCCATTCCCTAATACTCTCCAAGAAAAAATTGGACGTTAAGGTAATATCTAGTACCTCCTCCCTGTTTGAGGTAACAAAGGTGGGTCTACTACCAATATTACAAATAGCTAGATCATAAGATAATATGAAGTCAAGTAATAACTCACCTCTTGGGTTGATATCGGTAGAACCCCATAACGAGTGGTGCGCGTTTGCATCGGCTCCTACCACGACGGGAAACTTCCTTAAATTGGCCTCTTTCACCACGTCCAGTAACCGAGCAGGGGGGCAATCTTGGCGATCGTGAGCCATATAGGTTGAGACCAGCCAGAGTTTGGTGGATTTTCCCTCCACATTGATGCTCACCGTGTCTTCATCGCTAAAATGAGAGAGTAAATTATAAGAAATAGTTTTCTTGATTAATATACATGCTCTGATTTTACCTGCCACTGGGGCCGACATAATTTGGTAAGCATCAGAGTTGAGTCCGCAGACCCTGTTTTTTACGACCCAGGGCTCTTGGACAAAAATTAACTCCTCCCCTTTGTCACTAAGGTGCAGGAGCAGAGCTGCGGAGGCTGCTTAGCACAAAAGCCATATTATGAATTTTTCCATTGTTAGAACATAGTTGTTTGTGGTTCAAGTCCTCTAAACATATATTTAAGCTTTTAATGTTTACGACATACAACAATACGACACTTTCGACACCGTTGTGAATACCCCAAGTGTTTTTAAGAAAATATTTTCAATTTCAATTTCAATTTCGATTTATTCAGTCTATGGCATGGTTATCTTACGGACTAGAGGTACATATACAATTTTCTTAAATCTAATGTGTACGCAGATGAAAACTGCCATAAAGGGCAAATTAAACTAACGATCAGGGTTCGGATTTGCCTCATTTTAGCCCCTCGCTCGCTCGTTAGTTTGCTCCGAGTTTGCGCAACTCACGAGCAACAGACGAGGCTGTTTGCAAACGAGCACTCGTTAAGTGAGCAGCCAGCGAGCGAGTAAGCAAACGAGGGCAGCGCAAGAGTAGAGCGGCCAGCAAACGAGGCCCTCCCCTACAAGAATTGTGTGATGGAAACTAACACATTCTCATTTATCTTACTAACACATTTGCAAATTTTGCGTTGGTTAAAAAGAGACCAATATATAAGGCCATAAGTTGGAAGAAGACGGAAGATCATATGTACACAAATGTTTACATCAGATTTTTCACACTGCCCTTTAGAATGTGATAGAAACTTGTAGGTAGCCAGTGACAGAAATCTCTATCAGCCTTGCCAGTCAAATGATTTGTCAAATGATGGTCACTGTTCTTGTAGGGTCATTAACTCTGCCCTCGCGAGGGCGTCGTTGCGAGCGTAGAACTCATTTGCAGCAGCAGTCGAGCGAGTCAAATGAGGCAAGCAGATTAGACAGGCAAACGGGTTGTTTGGTCAGCAAAAATGTATGTGATAAAAATTGCTTCGACTAAGAATTTCGAATTCGAGGATTGTATGCACACATGCAGGTATGTATATACATACATATATACACATGTGTATGGATT